GATCGACTGTGGAAATCCATGAAGGGTGCTGGAACTGATGATGCGACGTTGATTCGCTGTGTTGTTTCTCGTTCTGAGGTGAGCACTTTTCTTCCCATGTTGTTGTTGTTTTTCCTTGACGATGTCATAGGTGTTGCTGTGGTTGTCGATGTTTTATCTGTACATCTAAGCATACCTAGTTATGTCATCAATAGATAGTGTCCCATTAGTGGTTAGTCTGCCGAAAGCTTCTGGAGAAATCATATCTACCTATCTCCCCTCGAGACGATAGCGGTAACCACCGGTACAAATTCTTTTCCAAGACGATAAATCTGTTAATCTCACTGATTGCAAATTTCCTTTGTTTTTACCTAGCGCGACCTCGTTGAAATCAAGCAAACATTTTTGCAGAAGTATCACAAAACCTTGTTCAAGATGATTGAGGGAGATTGCAGCGGAGACTACAAGAAACTCTTGCTAGCCGTTGTTGGCAGGAACTAAAAGCAGTTTCATAGAAAACAAAAAATTAACTTCCAGTATCATTTTTTTAATTTCGATTAATTACTCAGATGTTGAAACGACAAGATATTCAATAATGATTTAATGACCTTGTAGTTCTTAGTTACTCAGACCGTATTGGCGCCGTACGCTTATTGCCCACTTTCTTATCAGTTGATCTCGTGAAATTGAGGTAGTTTGTTGAATCTTCCTTTTTTGGAAATCAAGGAAGATGACCAGTCGTTGAAAAGAAATAAACAAAGGAAGCCCTTTAGGTCTTTTGCGGAGAAAGCAAAATTATTGGAACTTGGTCTTCTTTGCTAGCTTTCACCCAACTTCATTCTCATGGTCTCTCTTCCGAATCTCACCTCTCACAAATCTTACCGCCGCTCACACTCACTATCTTGCCTTTGAGAACTTAGAGGCCGGGAGGAAGAGGGCCCCCTGGGCATGAAGTTGGTTGTCGTATCGACAAAGGCTAAAATCCTACTTCTTTCTTAACTACCTCTGGCTGTTGAAAACTTAGGCGAGGCCAATTTTTTTTATTTGAATGGTTTGGGCAAATGAGACACATTGTATTCCCAATGCAATATAATTTAGCCAAGGATGGAACAAGAATGATTCTCAGATCATATTGTTAGGATTCTAATTTTCTACGCACTAAATATTATAAAGTACAAATGCAACGACTTTGCAACCTTAAATTACGTAGGTAGTCTTTTTAAACTAAAAGATAGACAGAAGATATTATCTAATCTAAGTTATTTCAAATAGTTTAGTACCATTTCTTTTACTACAATTTGATGTTTCACGCTAAGAAGAGCTCTTGGAGGCGAAAACGCAGAAATGCGATTTTAAAAATTACAAACCTACAAGGTTTGAAATATAAATTTTGCTCATCGTTTTAAGAAGCTGTTACTTTCACGCGTGACGTAGAACAAAGAAAACAAAGTAGTCGAAATATTGGAGCTTATCAAGATATTGGTGACAACACAGAAATAACTTCACATGTTCTAACAGGCCGAGGTAATCCGAAACATTTGATCAAGAGGAATATTTTTGCACGCGCACAGCAGGTTTCCCACGCTTTAGGTATATAATGCATCTTATTTTACAAATTTTACCCTAATGTTGATCCAAGTGGCTTATTGTCAAACAAATGTGCTATTAAATGGAATACTGGCAGAAATGACGCATGTGGGTTTCTTCTCTTTAATCCGCAAGTGATAAAAACTCGAAGGTAATTGAAGACCTTACATTTTGATAACAGAACTCGTCAGAGGCGATGAGCTTGAGGAATAATCTGGAATTGCTTCAAAGGTTACAAGCTAATATCAATACTACTCTCTTCAAAAGAATAGCTCACCCCTGTACAATAATTCTACCCAACCCCTTCGCCTCGAAAGAGTATTGTCCGCGTAAAACTCACCAATCAACTACTTCTGGAATCTGCAGTCAACATCCGCTTCATCTAGGTAACCACCCTTATATGTCACGAGAGCCATCGCTGCTGTTTTCGAGAGCTGAGGCGATTAGTCGTCACTTCACGCATTTTTTGGCACAGAAACTAGTAAACATGTACGGTCAGTCGACGATCTCACAGCGAGAACAAGACTATCATAACCTTAGAAGACAAGTGGATCAACTCAGGAGAGAAAGTAAAGTATCCAGAAAGAAGATCTCGGTTTGTTCCGAAGAGTAAGTAAAAGTTCGCGCTTGAGTACATTTAACTGAAGCTTATTGCCAGGTTTTTTAAAGTTCTGATTATTAATTAATTGCTCTTTTTGCTGGCATTGTTCGTGTTCAAATAGAACGATCCATGATTTAAAAGGGTCGAAGCCATTTTGCATGGGAGGCTTTTTTTTCTAGAACAGTGACGTTCGTGCAGAAATATCCTTCTGTAATCGCGCGGATGAAAGTCGCCACACTTCTGGCATAATACCCCTATCGTATCGTAGGTGAATTCAAATTGAATTTTATTTGTATTTTCCTTCAAAACGTTAAAAGCTCATGACATTTTACCTTAAGGTCTTAAAATGTGATATTTGGTTGCGTAAATATCAGAACTAAATGCGATATTGATGGCTGGAGTTTGTTCCGCTGGAAACCCTATTTGACAAGTTACGCTTTCGATATTGGTTGAAAAAATAACTTAAGCCAGTTATAGTTCTTACTAGATCCTTCTTATTTACTTTGCCGATCATTTGTTTGGTAGACTGCATTATGCTCCGCGGTTGTTTAGTTCAACTGGAGACTTAACGTGCAAAAATACTCTTAAATATTTCACAGGAAATGCGTTGTTTCAAACGTAAATTTTCGATTAATTCGGTTTTTTTAAAGATGGACCTAGATTATCAATTGACTCCCAATCACTTAGTGAATGGGGACAATAACTGAAGTATAGACCACAAACGTGCTATGGGGGTAGTTAAACAAACGAAAGCAGCTGGTTACATGATTAGCCTATTCACCTGTTTATATTGCAGTTTATTAAATTGTCACCAGACAGGTCATGTGTGTTGACTTGCTGGGGGATTGTAGAGACTGACTGAGAGGGTTTCAATAATGATGATGGTGAAGTTTACTGTTGTATTTCCCCTAAGATCTCATTGATAATTCTCCTTACTGTCTGCCATACAATTCCTACAATGTTAGTTCAGAGAATTTGATATCAGATCAACTAATAATAGCATGATTTTAAAATTCCTTGGAGATTCTGGATAGGTGCTCTGCCAATAATTTGAAAGAGTATTCCTTCCATACTTGATGCCAGCTATGATAGCATGATGAGGATGAGCCATCTCGGGTATAAACTCCATGTCACACATTACCAGGACAAGTCACAGTTTGTTTGAAGAAGAATTCCTGTGAAAATCTGCACATCACTGCAACTGAATTTTGTGGCTACAGCATGTCACATGAATTCCAACTGGTCTGAGTTTAAGTAAAGATCAAAGACTGCAATTGGTTTAAAGTGACTTAACAGCACACCCAAAGCAATTGGTCCACTAGGAGGCAATGAGGCTTCTTCTTGTATGGTTTAAAAGGAACTGGCAAAGCAGAATTTGTCTATTAGTCAAAAGCTTCTTTAGTCAGAGATTAGTTCCTTCATTCTCATATGGTAAATGTTTGATTCAGCAGTGATACTGTAGGGAGATATTAGATGCCAATCATACTTATCAAACCAGAAATTTAGAAATGATTTAATTGGAAAAAGTACCCCTATCAAGTGTATCTTTCTTATGTACCAGTACAATTTGAATTTTTTCACTTATCACATGTATCTAATACTTTTTTTATTTGTATCAAAACCTTTCTAATTGTTTTTCAATGTTTTCTTTATAGCCTTTCTCGATTCTGCCAAGAGAAGAGATCTGATGACCCTCTACTGGGAAAAATTCCAAATGCAAACAATCCTTACAGAGAGATGGGAGTGCGATGCTCTCTGCTATGATGAAATTTGCTTCAGTGGAAGAAAATTTATCTAATACATGGAGCTCAGAGGAAGATAACTGCATTGGAGCAGCAAATTAAATGATGCTAAATGTGGACTTACAGAGATGTTTGTAATAGTGATAATAGCTAAATATAATGCGGTGAATTATTTTTGTAATAATATCTCTTTAAATATAAAAGTAATTCTTCATAGAACAACAATCTTATTTTTATTTAATTTTAGAAAATATGTTTTGTTGTAATATGTAAAGCAGGTTAGAGTTTTCTATATTGTTGAAATTTTTTAAAAGTAGTATCTATTTTAGTTAGTGCCTAGGTTTGATTTCAGACATATCCCTTTCTTAAACTTAGCACATCTGAGCTTACATTACACAAGAGGAGTAACATAGAGAAATGGTTTTCTCAAACAAAAAGCTTTGGAAAAATCAATAACACTTGAACATTGCTTTTAACATTTTTTTTTAGCCAATGATTGATTTAATGGATGGCAGTATTGTAACCTGTGTAGTTAGTCAGTATACCTTTGCCCCCAGCAAGTAAAATTTTCAAAGCAGGTGACTGTACACAGTTTTGTGAACTGTCATTGATCAATAGGTGAAAGTCATAACTGGTTACACTTGTTGTGGGTAGGCTTGTTGTCTCTGATCTGCAAGCCTGCTTTTTCCCATTTTATGCACAAACCTTATCTTGAATTTTCCCAGGTAGCACCCTTAACAGTGCAAATAAAACTGTAATGGCTCTAGTAATTTTTTTTATCATGAAAAGTAATAATCCTCTCTTTATTCAACAAACAATATATTAATCTTACAATGTCAGTGATGAATGCTACAGAACTTATCCCCAATTGTAAAGAATTAAACATTATATCTTTAGTTGATATATGTTTAATACAGATAGAATTACATCTCATTTACTAAATATTTTTAGGCTTTGTTTAGCTAGGGTTTAGATGCTGTTATATTGACATTTTTTCTTACCGATTGTCATTTGCATAAATTGGTTCAGAGAAAATATATATATCTATGGAAGAAGACAAAATGTTGTGGGCTTGTATCACTTAAACTGCATACAGAAAAATATAATTTTATTAAAAGTTATTAAAATATAACTACAACTGTTGCATCTAAGCTGCCTCTTAAACATCACAAAATGCAAACTAGGAGCAATTTCAGTAAAATTTTGCTCTGCAAAATTATAGAAGTTTTGAATGTACTCATGTGCAATTTGTGATTCTTCTCTTTGGTATACATATGGCAAAAAGTGTCAGAAACCGAGTGTATATTTCCACAGCTACTCTTATGCAAATATTTTTTCTGATATCCTGAACATTTTCCATGCATTTTTCATCCAAAAAAACCTTTCTTTCATTTTGATAAAAAGTATCCAAAACATATGCTTGGCTTCCTTTTTCAAACTTTACCAATATGATAGATATTTGGATAAAATCTGTGATACACAGCACAAATTATCTTTCATGAGAGAAATGAAAATAGCTCCTAAAAGTAATGCTAATGACAATTATCAAACATCTGTGAAGAGTTCCAGCTAATAATTACCACCTTATTGAAACCCCACTTTAAGTAGAATTTGTCTTTGGTTATTCCTGTACCTAGCCAGCATCAGTCAACAATTCTTCCCTTAACTACCCATCATCTGTAAGTATGATTTCAAAAATGTTTCTCATTCAGAAGACTTTTTTTTATGCAAACTACACCCAACCTTACTTTCTGGGATTTTAAGTCAATTAGAATTCTCCTTCATCCTTTTTCTATTACACATCTTTTTTAGTTGTACATTGATCATTTTCTGAACAGCTTTGTAGACACTGTACTCATCTCTCACATTGAAAATACCGTAGAACAGAAATCCTGAGGCAAGAAAAGTCCCAATGATGCGAATCAGATACAAAATCTTGCCAAATACATGGTGCAGTGAAAAGCGAGAGTGTTCTGCAGCAGGAAACATGACAGGATAAACTGCGAAGAGCAACAGAGCACAAGCAATAAACACTTGTAAGTTTTGTCGTCTGGACAATGCATCAATTGCACCGGCAATGATTTTTTGTGTTTCAGATAAGGCTTCTCGTCCCTTGCTGCTGATAGAAACTGCAGCTTGAAATGAATCTTGAAAAAAAAAGAGATGAATTTTATGAAAATTATACACAAGTTAAAAAAAAACTTCTTTAACAACTGAAATATATATAGGGTTTCTTCTCAAATGGCAGGGAAGGGGGAGTATCCACCCACTTCAGCTACCCTACCCTTTTCAGCATCCTTAAATCCTCCCTCCCATCCTCTATTGTAAAAAAATGCAGATTAACAATTTTTTGCATTTTGCATTTCACCTTTTCTACTTCCCACCTTCTCTTCTCTCATCTTTGGTATATCACAATCACTCCTAATTCCCAACCCCTTATTCTCAGGGGTTTCTGTCCCCTGCACCTTAAAAACAATAAGGCGTGAGTTCTCAGGTTAAAATCATTCTAAATGGCTGTTGCCTAGCATGACAAGATAGCGTAATAAAAATAAAGAACTGATCATCAGATACATACCCCAACACCTATGCAGAGAGAAAATAATTACTAGAAACCTTCATTAGAGAAGGTAAATTTCTTAACAGTTTCCCATAGAACAAATCAGGCATCAAGAGGCAGACTTTGAGTTGGCTGACCGCTAGCCAACATCCTGAAGTTGTAAACTTGGTCAAGAGAAATTAGACAAGCAAAAGTGCAAGCCGGCTATGAACCAATGGTTGCCTAGTGAGGTGACTGACAGTTGATTATTAGAACATCTACGATAGTAGTACTTGCACATTTACATAATGCTACTGAGACTGTCACACCTTCACTCACTGAAAAATTCTTTTAGTTATCTCTTCAAACTGTGCTGGATTTATGTGACAGACTGGAAGAGGAGGTCTTTACTTCAAAGTTTAGAAGGTAGTCTGTGAGTAATCTGTTGGCCAATAACTAATCAAAAGCTGGTGGATGGGAGCTGTTCCACACACTTACCCACTAAGTATGGTTATTAGTACTAATGATTTTACCTGTCTCATCAGCCATTGTGTCTGTCACCACAAAGCTTGCAGCCACACCTTCGTGGTCTGAAAATGAGAATGTGTTTCCTGGGACATGTCCCATGGTAACCTCACAATGCGTACATTCTAAACTTCTTTGACTGCTCTGATAAAAAATGTAATCAATGCGCTTTCCATCCTCAGGTCCACCTTCTTGAGAAACAGTAGCATCACTCCTATCTCCCGAAAACGTATTTGAACTGACATCTGATGTGTTACCATAGCAACCAGGCTGTGAAAGAAAAAAGTTTGTCAAAAAGGTTACTTTCTCAATTTTTTGGAAATTTAATTACTGTAGAAAGAGAAAGTCATATATTCAAAGGTGACATAATCATTTAAAGATATTAAGTGTTCCCTTGTAAAGTTCATGAGCAAAACATTGCCCAGTATTATGATATTTGTCATTTGTATATAACATGAGCCATAACTGTATTTTTTTTACCAACAATCAGTACAGTTGTAGAATGTTTCTCATCAAAACAAGCCTATTGATAGGCAACATTTTTTTGCCAAACAAAGTAAAAATCAACTACATGCAAGAGTGCATGAACATAGATTTGAAAATAATGATTAAGAGGACTGCATAAGAAAACAATTTATTTGAAGGAAGAAAATACAAAACTGACTATAAGAAAAATGAAAAGCAGTTACCTTGTCTCTTCTACATTAAAGTTTATAATGGTAGAGAACCTCTCACCTTGATTGTTCCATGTTTATCCCAAGCATCAATAAGTCCAGTAACATCTTTGATAATCCTATAAAACAGCTGGGATGGCTCACAATTCATGTCACCACAAACTAACACTGTGTCAGAAGGCTTTGTCAAGTGATGAACAAACTGAGAGAGTTGGTATGCTTGGACTGCTCTGTGGGGGGCATACTCTCCACTTTCATTGTATTCTGCATGTGTCTTAAAGAAGGAACAGAACATTAATCATAAATTATCAAAGAGACAAATGCATGCAAATCAAGTAGAGCAAAATAACTCAACTTCCAACACCTCAATAGTGTTTTTCAAGATGATAACTAGGTAATTAATGAAAGGTAACTCAGATAAACTCAGGTAAGTTACAATACAATTCCAATAACCCCTATCTCAGTTCTAACAGTGCAAACTGTAAAGGGGACAGCAAATATTGGAGCTTAGATTGCAGAGTCAGCAATTTCTTGACACTGTGTGGAGTTTTTTTTTTTGCAATTAAAAAGAAAAAAAGGAAACAGAAACAATCAAGTGAAGTTTGCGGTACGGGGTCAAAATGTTGCAAATTCATAACTGCAGTGACTACATCCTGAGGTAAATGCTAAAAATTGATCTCAAAGAGTACCAACATTCACCTCAATGAGCTCACACCCTTTTTATAGTATTTGTTAAGTGTATAACTTCAAATTAAAATCATAATATTATTATGTACTTACATGAGTGGCAAAGAAATGAATTAGTTGCTTGGGATGATCAATCAAACAGTATCCCACACCTTTTCCACCAAACCAGTCTGCATGGGTAATCTTGTACATGTAGCCATTAAGAGAATACCGGTAAAAATATGCATCAATGATTGGATACCGAGAGAACACACAAACTCCACTTCCAATCACACCGCTATAAGAAAATTGAATAAAATGTTTTATGTTGAGATCACATCAACATGTAGCATTAAATTATGTATACTCATCATCTTATTGCACAAGATTGATAACTTCTTTTATTGCTTTTTCATACCTGTAAAAATAGTGTGAGTATGGAAGAACTTCATTAACTATTTGACCAATCAGTTCATAATCACTTCTACTCCAAATCTGTGAAAGAAAAGTTTGAATAGGATCAAGAGGTTCATAAAAAAATTGAAATTTATTGAAGGAATTTAAAATTTTCAAGACATTAACCAATAAATTACAGGTCCTTCTCTGAGCATTTGAGACTTAACACTTCACAAGAAAGGTTTGTGGTAACTGCCATGGGAAGGAACTCTCAACTTCTTACTGATATCTGCATCACAAAAATCCTCATTTCACGCTCTTAAGTGTGTAAATAATAACCTCAGGGAAAAAAAACAACAAAACAAAACACAAAAGAGAAACATGTCATAGTGACACATGGCAAAGTGCACTGTGCTGTCTGACTGGCAAGAATGTATTTATCCCCTGTCTCATGATCATTCAGGCAGAACAGTATCTGACATGTTTGGTGAAGCTGAGTTGATCACATGAATATTTTCCACTATCATGTGTTCATGCTTGTGTAGATATACAGATTGTGGGGAAAAAAAAACATAATCCATAATAAAAATAATTTGTATAACAAAATATAAAAAAACATTCCATATTTTGGCACTATACTCCCAGAGTATCCAACCCCACCAAGCTTTGCACATTAAAACCTGAAATTCACTGTTACCAATGCATTCTCAGGCTTCATCTTTCAGTTAATGCCTATCATTTAAAGGGTTAGACAAATACTGCCCAGGTTGGAAAAAATTATTATCCTAGATCTTAGAGAAATTAGCTTTTGAGCTAGCTCTCTTAGGTCTTACCCACATTGAAGGATTAGAACCCATGCAGCCCACTCCTCTATCTAAAACTTCCTTCAAAAGAGTTTGCTTTAATTCCAGGCTACACAAATTCTTTCGTCAACATTTAAAAATTATACCACAATTGAAAACATAATCATCACAGTGAAAATAACAATGAAAAGAAGGCAATGTACAACATCCATAATCACCTGGGTCAAGTTGATCACAGGGCCAATAATGCTATCCTACGGAAATATCACTATCCAGTGGATAAGTGTCAAGTAAACGTACTGCACTATCCACCAGATAGAGATTTATCCGGTGGATAGCGTTTTCCGCCCTCCAAACAACCGGGGCCTGCACAGTGACTGAGAATTACTAAAAATTTAAGTCGTTCAAGTACCTCTTGAAGTGTTACTACATCATGATGACCTTTGGCAAGTTCCTCAGCAATCAGCACTTTACGTTCTTCCCACATTTTGGACACATGAGGTATACCCCTTATAGAAATTGAACATAGAAGAAGTCATCACCGGAAGTCGACCAAGTGCATGTATATCACGAGCTTAAACAAGAACCTTCTCAAAATTCATTACCAGTCAGAGTAAAAAGAGTGTAAAACGAAATTTAGGAATTGTATCAATCTAAAGCTGATTAAAACTGTTTAAAAAACTTTGAATAAACAGATAATACCAACGGGGTAGCAGCAGTAAAATTTTTTCCAGCAAGCCGACGGCAATTCAGATCCCACTGTTTGCCTAGGCAGGTTAATTTTTCGATGTTTTTAAAAGAACGAGATCGAATATAAAGGGAACGATCAAAACACTTCCTTACCAGCAATTCAAGGTCAAGACGTGTAAGTTGGGCTCTCGCTCTTCGTCCGCCATGTTTAGAAATGAGTCTGTGGAAAACAGTATCACTGTCAGCAAGCACTTCAAAAACAGTAGGATCTTCATGTAAATCAGGTCTTAAAACTTAGCTTCAATTCAAACCCAGTCCTTTATGTCAAAGGCAATCCTACCGACTGATAAAACTCTGGGTACGAGGTAGGATTCACGCCTAGGAAAGTAAAAATTATTATTCCAAGACAAGACTATAAGTTTTTTCGTTTGTCTCACGATGTAGTCACGTGTGATGTAGATCACATCACCACGATGAATAACCATGTGGACGCTCTCTGCAGGAAAGTCGAGAAGTGTTATGTGATGTCATAAGAGAAAAAAGGAAATGACGACTAAGAAAATTCAATAAAAAATAGGGATAAAGAATCAGCAAAGTAGTCTGAGATCTCAAATGGTTGTTCCTCGATGTGAAAAGAAATATTTGACAGCTACGTTGGACCACTTAGTGAGAAATATGCAAATGAGGAAAACTGTCATAACAGCTTGTCACATCATGGAATTAAACAGATAATAACAGAACATTCATCATAAAATGAAACACAATTTCATTGTTGACGCTATTGACGCTAACATCGCATGCAACCAAAAATAGCTAAAAAAAAATACTTCTGTACGGTCTCGACCGCAGGAGAAGTCGGTACCAAATCAGCACTATTAATTTTTGTTTCGCATTTGATAGGTCGAGATGACTGCAGGAGTCTTATTGAATAATCACAATTCAAGGAGCCGCAAAAAAAGATCAAATCGATCCGGGATACTTCCGATAATGAGTTCAACGTGACTATAACACCTTTCATGCAGTTTGGATTTTTTATTTATAAAGATTACAGGTTCTCGCCTTCGGCAAGCATTTATTGATTCTCAAATCAAGTTAATAAGAGTTTGTTTCTTTAGTTATTACTTTTCTTCATTGCTAAAATTTCAAATTTTTTATTATAATATTTAACTGTCATTTTTAAGTTGCTATCTAGGTTGCTAACAATCAAGACCGAGAAGAGGAAAATATTTTGCTCAAACCACGATTAGGTTTAAATAACATGACGCAGTTTTCAATATTTCCGTCAGCTCAGTTTCAGAGTCAAAGTTCTGTTATAAAATTTAGGCGGCTTACATGCCCTAAATGTAAATTGTGTATAAACAAGTTATAGAGCGCATTTCAATTGAGTGTTGTAAAACAAAAACCGAAGTGATTACAAAAGCCAATCAGAACGGAAAAGATCATAACGAGCCAATTAAAATTCAAAGAAAAACGAGTAATACATAACCAATTCACCACTGACTTTAGTTCTCCATCTGATTGGTCATTGGTGCTGTGAATTTTCTCGAACAATCAGTAACGCAAAACCAACGCAATTCCAAATTATGTTGGACACTCAATTGAAAAATGCAGTAAACAGAACTTTTTAAGCAGACCATTAACTGTTATAATGTAATAAAATGTAATGAAAGGAAAAGGAACTACAGTAGTCCCTTACCTAGGGAGCCTACCTACCTTGGCTGTTAAAGTTATGTTCTTTGAGGTTCAAGTGAAGAAAATTTACAAAATGGAAAGCCTCAACAGTATTAATTGTAATAGCTTTATTAGACCTTATGCAAGTAGTTACAATAAAAATTTTGCATCTTAATACATTGTATCAAAGAAAACATTATTAATGCTTTCGCACAAATTCAATTGTGGATTTTTGATGGTGACGGTTACTGGTTGTACTAAGTGTTTCTTTAAGCTTACTCTTATTTGACCACAAAAGTGTTTCTGCTGATCTGTCAGTTTAAGCAACACTGTACCTATTTACGATAAGACACTTAAAATATGTAACTTAATCTCTTGTTGAAGTCCTTTAATATGCTATAAAGAACGTATCAATAACTAACTGTCTTAAACATACGTTGATGCGTCGTTATTTCTCTTCTAGCGAGGCACAAATGACAAATATTCAAAAAAAGGGACCGAAAACGTTATCAAAAAGTGCAGGATTGCTCCATACCTACAACACTTTAGCGTCAATGGAGCTCAATGGAGAAATATGGCAATTGCCAAGCGAACGAAAGCTGCTTTCTATAGCAATATAGTTTTTATATCGATTTAAAAGAACTTAAACTAACCCCTGCGTAGATGGCCTAAAAAATAAAGTTAATTAGGTTTCTCAACTCTCTCCGAAAAGGTCGATTGACCAAACAATAGATAAACACCTTACTCGCTGAGGCAACCACAGTGGAAAAGAATGCAATCCTTGCTGCGATCAGAGTAATATGTAGTGAAAAAAGCTGATCAACAACGAGCACGATTGCTGCAGGACAATAGCAAGTAATAGATGCTATTGAGACGATCAAGAAAGTTTTTGTGAGGCGATACATTTTACTGGTAAACCTTTGGCGAGCATTTACCCGAGGGTCAACTTCACATTTTCGCCCGCGGATGATGCGGAAAATGATCCGATAACAATTGAATGTTAAAAACGCAGGAATTACAATTCCTACAAATAGCAAGCTTACATTCCAAATTGATCGTTGAAGGTCCCATTTGAATGTGACATAACATCCCAGATACTCGGAATGGAACTTATATTCAGCCCAGGATACCATGACGGGAAACCCAGAAGATAAACCCGAAACGACCCAGATTATCATCAATATGATCACAGAATACCCAGGGGTAAATGTTTTTTCATATTCCTGGGGCTTGACGATCCTGTAATACCGCTGAATGGCAACAAATGCCAGAGTAAAAATAGAAGCCATTTTAGGGAAATCGTTGAAAACCCCATAAATGGAACAAGTTGTGTCGCTGTAGAACTGAGCCGAGTCCATTATCATAGCACCGATCGTAAGAGGTACTGGAATAACCACCATGAGGATATCTAACAATGCTAAGCTAATAACAAAGTCATTCGTTGGATGCAAGACCCAACTATGTTTATATACCATGAGAAATATTACAATGTTACCTAGCAAGGCGGCTGTTGCAAGAACAGCCATGACACACGCTTGTGCAAAGTCGGAGGTCATTTTCAGAGAATTTAAGTTTACAGTTGAATCACAGAAGGTTGCGCCACGGTTTTTAAGAATAAATTGCTAGCATGGAGAAGGCTATTATTTTAACATCAAACATTGCAAAAAAAAAAACGTCTGTTGCCTGTCAGTTCTGCTTCGTAATATGAATTTGTAATGATTCACCGTACTTCCAACTATATTGTCAGCCCTTCTTTCCTCTATCTTCTCTGTTTTTTTCGCTGTCTTCTGACGCTCACTTCCAATTTAAACCTTTGTGAGTTCCATGTACATTTGGATTATTCACAGGGAGTTTATACAGGTTGAGGAGGCCTGAAAATACGATAAAAAAAGTGGTAAGAATATCTGGCTGAGCTAATTATTTCTTACAAGCAAGCATAATCCATTACTGTTTGACGCGTTTAACGTTTATTCATGATCATTATCTGCTCAAGACTACTAACATATTTATTTATTTTTTTACGAAAAAGATCATATTTGATTTTAATATATATTTTTTTCTTTCGTTTTTGCATTTTCTTACTACTGTGGGACTTAAAATTTCCGTGAAATGCCTCTTTTGTTTGTTTTTGACTACGGCAGCGCAAGGCAGATATCTTAAAGCTACTTCAATATTGTTGAATGTTTGCCAAAATTACCTTTTGAAAAACTGTTGTCAATTAAGGCCAGGCCATTCTAAATTTAGGTGATAATCTATTGTCATTAACCGCTCGAAAGAAAATGATGCTTAAAAAGATGAATAGAAAAGTTTGCATTTTGTGGATCTACATTTTCAAATATTTTTTCTTGCTAACTTTTTTTATTTGACTCTAAGCGTGCAGCACACAAGAGGATTTTCATCTTGGAAAAAGATAACTTACCAAAGAGGATACACATTGAAAAATGTGAAAATTTCAAGTTACCATCTCTGATCTCTTGAAATACATTAAAATTAACTTTTCAATTGTCTTAAATTAGCTTTAGCTGCTTTTTGCCCGCCAATAGGACTCTCTTATTCACCTATACTTTTCAAAGTAATCTTCACCTGAGAAGCTACACCGGGCGCAATGTACCCTTCTCTTCGTATATCGTGCAGCAACAGCTTTCTCATACAAGTGGACTTTTATCTGTCTTTGAAGCAATGTTTTACCACTCTTGGCTTTGTTACCGGTTTTCGTCACTTGGTGAAGTATTTATAGAACAGAGAAACCGTTTCCAACTAGTCGCAAACAAATGCAGGACTTAGTCGTTCGCCGCGGTATATTATGTCCGCTTTGCTCTTCGAGACTTCCTCATCAAGTTCGCCACTGGAAGCTGGCGGCAGGTGCAGCCTGTCATGATGCTTAATTTTTTTTTATCTGATGACGCCATTTAAGAATTTTGAGGGCCAATAAGTGTCGTTGATCGCCGTTCAAAGAATTAGTTCATTGTCCTTTTTAGCGCTCATCTTTCATAGACGCGACAAGTTGTTCCAGCTTTGGATCTGCACGGCTTGCAAAGCGCAGTTCTTGCGCTCCTTGATATGTGTGGTCTCATTAATTTTGTCTTTCTCTCTGATATCAATTCCAATATCAGTCATTGATTTTGCAGTATTCATCTCACCGTACCGGCCTAGTTTTTCATTAGCCTATCTGACGTGACTTTTGAACTGGGAAAACTAAACAAGCTACAAGAACGGTATCATCACATAAAATGTTCCTACTACAAGGCGGGGGCACGTGCAAGCTAAGACATACTTACTGGAATAACTTACAGAAACCGATGTTCTTAAAACACAAAAAAGTTCTTTTCGCCTGAAACATTGAGGATAATAGATAGTTACTACCTCTTAGGACATGGATATCTTCTGGGTAACTTTGACTTCTTCCACTTATAAACGCCGTCAGGTGAACGAAGAAAAATCCTATTCAGTATTATAATCAGTATTCCGTGAAAAAAGTTTTGCAAATATTATTAGTTTCTCCTTACATGATATTTACCAATGATATTTCGTATCAATCAATTTCATCGCTGGTTTTTCTTAAATTCTATTCCGTTTTACATGAATTAAGATTCGTATAAGAATTTCTCGAGTTTCACTTCAACAGGAGGGTAGGTCCCTAGGTTCAGGGCAGTCGGGAGTTCAGGATGTCGAAAGATGTTCCACAACTCTTTGAATTAATATTCTGTCTGGGAAGCAAGTCTGAATAAATTTAAAGCTGTCGTCCGATCTGTTTACACATAAGACTCAGCGCAACCTTACGATTCTTTTTTTAGAAAGTCTTCTGCTATTTTTCATCTTATCTACTCGTTTATTTACTTATTTTTTTGATAAAAGTTATTTCCTTTATTCTTCACGGACAAAGAGGATTGCTCTTGAAAATCAAAGGCAAAATTTTCGGGATCATTCAGCCATGTGAGAGGGCGGGAATGATGTATGACGTTTTGCTAACGATATACTGTCAGAAAGCCTGTGGGAGATCAATTTAATGCATTTAGAAAACATTACTGAATTTCTATAAAGCGCCACGCCAAAAATTAGCCCTAGGTACTTGTTACATCTCTCTTGGTTACTGATCAAACTTAATTTTTTGGGAGCTGTACGTATGCGTGGACTCAGATCAAAAGGTCGAGGTTTGATCGTACAAACCGGGAGATAGAGAATCCATTTTGGAAAACTAAAACACAAAAATTAATTCCTGACCAAATGTTTATATCATCTGCTGCCTATATTAGTCGAAAATAAACGCAATTACAAAGCAGCTGTGCGGATACGTTGAGCGCATTTACATGTTAACAGCGTGCTTCCAATGCTGATTATTCCCACGTACACTTTTACGGTTTTTATTTAACCCATATCTTCTTCAATTTAAATGTTTCATATGTACCTTGACAGTTTTCCGGCGTTCCTTGTTCCATACAACCTCTCTCGGCAGCACAAAAGTAACTTCCTTTTCAAGATGAATACTTACAGCGACAAAAGACAGGAAAAACTCAGTTGGAATCTACATTATTTATCTATGTCCATAATACGCGGCAGTTTTGTCTGCGAAAAATTTTAACGTATTTGGTTTCGAATCCTGAAAATGGACTTAAAACCAAGTCTTTTTAAGGTTAATAATAGTGTGTTTTCAAGTATTTTGGCGAAACCTTTGATAAAACACATCATCATCATCATATTTTTATTTGCCTTATTTACACAATACAAAAAAATTTATTTACAGCGGTTATAGCTAGAAGGCGAGGAGACCTAGGAAGCCACCGGGCTTATGGGAGAGCCACCTCACTTACATTAATAAATAAAGTAAAGAAAAAGTGCTGCAAATGTGCGGCTAGGCCAATTCAAGGATTATTTAAGTAAAAACTCTTGCATTTTCGTCTTAAAACTAAGAAGGTTTGACAAACGAGTGACTGAAACAGGAAGAGAGTTCCAAATTTTAGGACCTTGGTGAAGAATTGTAAATTGCTTGAGATTTTTACGGCACAAATGCATTCGATAATTACTGGCTATTCTGGTACCATAGTTGTGAATTTGGCTATTCGTTACAAAAAGATTGAGAAGCAATGGGGGCAATAAGTTATTTCTATAGTAAAACATGAGTTTGGCGATTTCAAACGTATTGACTTGGAAAATATCTAAAATTCCTAGTTTAGAGAATAAAGGAGCGGAATGGGCTCGATAGTCTGAGTTGGTGATAGCCCGCACAGCTCGCTTTTGCAAGTAATAAATTCTATTCAAGTTAGATACGTATGTGGACGACCAGGCACAGTTACAATAGACGATATAAGGATAAATTAAGGTGTAGTACAAAGCGAGCTTGGTTGTAGAGGATAGGAAAAAGCGAGACCTAAATATAATACTTATTGATTTAGCGATTTGTTTACATACATAGCTGATATGGTGTTTCCAAGTGAGATGATCATCAATATAGACCCCAAGGAATTTAGTTATGTTAGATTGTTGTAGGGGTTTACGTCCAAAGGGGAGAGAAATGCTGGAGTTAAATTTCTTCTGT